GTTGGTTTTCCTTCTCTGTAAAATCACTTCCAAGATATTTAAGTTGTTGCACTTGTTTTACATGTTTTGTAATTAAGATTTTTTCTTTATTTTAGATAGGTTGTCACTAAAGGCTAAAGAGCTCAGAATACGTTTTTATTTAGATCATAATTAGGGAGGGACGAGAAGATTCGGGAGTACCCCTTTAGCAGGTGTATTTTTAGGAAAGCGAGAGTAGACTTTATCAGGATTTGAATACGGATCCCCGATTCAAATATGCGCGCTAATATCAGTTACACCAGCCGCACATTCTGAATGACTTGCAATTATTAACTACCGTCTCTTTCATCTTGAATGAAGAAAATTGTCGCCTTGTACGTATTTCCAGTCTAGGAATGTGTGAGTCTTCAAAACTCCAATATAACTACGCACCAAGAAGACGACGGAAAAAAATGTTTTTAAAAAATCAAATTACCGTCCATTTTTCATATATATATATATATATACACACACACACATATATGCACACACACACAAACACACACACACACACACACATATATATATATATATATATATATATATATATATATATATATATATATATGAGGATAGGTTACTGTTTTTGATCAATGTTTGAAATTTACATTCTATATATTTGGAATATATTGTAATTATACCTCGTGCTTTAGAAAACCCCAGACATGTTCAAATAAACCTGGCTTAATAGAAAATTGTCCGTAAATATTTCATCTCGGATAGAGACGCTAATCTAAACAAATTCCTATCCAATTTTATATGGTCGAATGCGTTATTACATTTTACTAAGTTTGGCATAAGTAGATCGTGAGAGTGCGGCGAGCGATAATCGATTTTTCTAGATTTTTCAGTACAGTGAGGACGCAGATTACTAGACATCGTCCTAGAAAGGAAAACTTCCCGACATTTAAGAAGTTAAGTCTGACACAAGGTCCCACTAATGACGATTCTTCTTCCATATGCGTCCTCCCCTCGGGATTAGCTATCGAGCTTGTGTAAATGGATCTCAGAAGAGTGGGGGCGATGGTTGAAGAACACAAAAGATAAGAAATTGTGGTGAACCAATGGACACGGACATCGAGATGTCGGAAGACGCCGCCAACGTTCGCTAACGCTAGACACGTGATTTACCTCGTGGGTTCGAATAAGGACAGGAGAAACGAAGGCTTGCAGCAAGGAAAAGCGTGCTCGACGGAAAGAAAACACGGCGACATCGACGGCGAGTGTATTCCAATGAATTCGTTGCATTTGAGAATGTCACTCACATATGGGCCTGTACAGCCATAACAGATGCTGCGCTGCCGTCAGCAGCTAAAGCATAACTCTTTGGGTCCAGATCCAAGGTCTCTCGAGAACGACGCATGTCACATAAAAAATTGAATATTATATTAAATTATTATAATACTTTTAAGCAATATTTACGCTTTTTTCATTAAACTTAAAATCCGTTAATGTTGGTGAGCTTCGACAAAACACATCATTTTTTTTTCAGAACGCCAATATATCAGAATAATTCATAGAATAATGACGTCCTGATTATGACGATAAACTACATCTGCGTCCTGTGTAAGACGATAAACTACATACGCGTCCTGGGTAAGACGATAAACTACGTCCAACAGGAAGGCCTGTGATTAGGAAGTTTTGAGGAACATGTAACCACCTGTTAATTACTGGTGTTCCCAGGTCCACCCTAACTCGGTGTGATAGCACCTGTTAGGGTCCCAGCTATAGACAATTAATTTACCCCAAAGTGGAGTAAAAACACAATGAAACTGAAAAATAGGTTTTAATACCAGAAATAATTTGTAAAAAAAGCTATTACCGGCAATATATTTTTGAAAATAAAAAAGTTACCAGCAATACATTTCTAAAAAAAAAAAATTACCAGCAATAAAAATCTTGTCGGCATTAAATAACACATTGAGTTTGATATAACCTAAGACAAACCAAACCAATTCAAACCAAACCAAAGTAAACTAAACCACAGAATAATGATAATATTTCACCTCGCATCTCCAGAACTGAGTGCCAGCTGATAATCATTGATCGAAACAACAAAAATGTTGATACTCTACCGAATAATTTCTCAAATAATGGCAATACCTCACCATAGATGTCATATATTCCAAACACATCGAGGAAGATTGGGATATTGATTATGAATAATAGAAGAATGCTAAAAACCGTTTTATCACAGAACTGCAGGCAACGAGAAGAAATCCCGGAGATTCAATCAGTCTAAACGCACTGACTGAAACAAGAAATATAATTATACCCATCTGAATAATTAATCAAGTAACATAATACTTCATTTCAGAAATATACCCAGTGAGAATAAAATTGAAAAAAGACAAAAATCATAAAGATAAAAAGAACTCAAACAAGGATACTCGTCTGATTTTGAATAATTATGAGGAAGGCACCGGCCGAAATTTCTTGTTTGAAACGACCAATGTGGAAATACCTGTAATGATGACGTTTTTATGAGAAAAAATCGGATCACAGGAAGTTAAAAGGTAGATTTACTAAATCCAGAAATTTTATTGGTTAATATATTTCATAATATTTAATATAAATCTTTAGGAGGGAAAATATCCTTAATAATTTTCCGTAGGTGAGTCTTCATTTGTTTAATAAAATAAAACATAGAATGGTTACCTATTTTTTAAAGGCTTGAATGTCGTTCGAGACCACCTCGCTGATTGGTTAATAAATGCTAATGTGAGGATTTGAATTTGACATTCATACAATCATAATTTTGCACAAAATTAAGAAATTAGGGATACTACTCAAATTTACTGAATTTCTTCTAAAAATTTTAACTGGCTTCTACACGTGTAATAATATATTTTCCTATGATTGCTACCCAGGTACAACAGGTCCGATCATGTTCGTAAGCACTCGACGGCTGGGAGGGTGACACTGGTCAACCCGTCAACTAACTCCTTTGAAAGTCTGGTGTAATACTGAGTGCAGAGTATATTCTGACATGATCTGCGGTGAGACACACACTGCATACAAGTCCAGACAACTATGGTAGACATGACAAAGTATTATATAGGATATTTCGAAAATATTTAGGGTGTCCGGAAAATTCTAAAATAGTTGAAGCCTTAAGATCGAAAGAAAAATTGTTGCTTACATGATTTGATAAAAAAAAAAGAAGTCATTTTTCCATCGGAAGAAGGCCGAATAGCACAATGGTCGAAACGTTCTGATGACAACAACAAAGATGAGGACACTGGACCGAATATAATTAATGTAAATAGTGATAACTTTTCACCCGAAAATTTCAGAGAAGAATATATTGGCATAATTAGTAAAACTAAGGAAAAATGAATAGGTCGACGTAACTATATATATATATATATATATATATATATATATATATATATATATATATATATATATATATATATATATATATATATATTCTGTTTATACATTATTTTTATTGATACAAATGGTTAAGCTAATGCTCTGTTTATAATAAACAGTATTAAGTACATTTACCGGCCTAAATGTCCTAGAGATTGCATATAAAATATGTCCTCCGACAGGAATCGAACCTGTATCCTACAGGGAACCGTCATAGATCTTAACGTGCTATACAATTTGGCTACAGTGGAAGCATCTGAATAGAAAAGTCAAATGACTATTTTTAAGCAACAAATTTCCCATAAACAGAAAATATATTAAAGTAATTATCGATTATTAGATACGTTTTCAGTAGATATGAGCGTTCGAGAAAAATCATGGGGAATTTGCTGTTTAAATACGGTAATTTGATTTTGATAACCAGACGCTTCCTCTGTAGCTAAATGATATAGCACTTCGGGCTATATGACGGTTCCGTGTAGGATACAAGTTCAATTGCTGTCGCAGGACACATATTTTCTATAAACTTTCTCGGACATTCAGGTCGGTGAATGTTGTTAATACTGTTTACTGTAAACATAGAATTTACTTAAATATTTGTATCTATAAAAATAACGTATGAACAGAATATATATTAAAATAATTGTCGGACTTAGTCCATTTCATAATACACACACACACACACACACATATATATATATATATATATATATATATATATATATTTACACACACACACACACACACACACACACACATATATATATATATATATATATATATGGAGAGAGAGAGTGTGTGAGAGAGAGAGAGCATGTGATGAATAAATAGATAGGAGCCGACGGAAACATTAGCAAAAGCAAAGAGTGAAACGTATTGACGTATTGTTTGGAAAAATATATATTATTTTTATTTCGTGTTCTGCTTACAAAATAATAGGAAGTAAATTAAAATACAAGATGTAATAAGACGTAATAAATCAATGAATGAATTTTGAGTCGAAGAAAGAAAAATAGTAAATGACAAATACAAACAGAAAAGATAAAAAAAAAAATTATGTGGAATACCAATAACAGGAAAACAGACAAAGAAAAAAAAGAATGAATGAATCAAGGTAGGAAAGAAATATGGAATGAAGGAAAGAAAGATAAAAAAAGGAAGAGGAAAAAGAAAGATAAAAAATGAAACAAAGAAACCGGCGGGGAAAGAGAAGAAATGAAAAAAAAAAATGAATTGGGTTATGGAGTGCAGGAAAGAAAGAAAACGGATATATGAAGAAGAAATAGAGAAAAGAGTAAGGAAGTAAAAAACAAAACGAAGGAAAGAATAAAGAATGAGAAACATCAAAAAGAAAAAAAAAGAACGACTTACAAAAAGATAAATAGAGCAAAACAAAATAAGAAAAATTTTGAATGAAAAAACGATGAATGAAGAAAAAAAATCGGAAACGAGGAATGGTGAAGAAATCAAGAAGAGTGTCATGAAAGGAAGGAAAATATACGTGGAAAGAATAAAACAGGAAAAAAATATAGGCGGGAAGGAAGGATAAAATGAATGAGAACGGAAAAAAACCATAAAAAAGAAGAAAAAAGAAATCAGCATCAGACAAGAAAGAAAACGACGTCAAGAAAGAAAGAAAGAAAGAAAGAAAGAAAGAAAGAAAGAAAGAAAGAAGGAAAGAAAGAAAGAAAAAATGTAGAAATAAAGAAGAAAAAAAGAAAAGACGGTATGGAAAGAAAGAAAGAAAGAAAGAAAAAAAAAAGAAAGAAATAAAGAAGAAAAAGAATGTAGACGGTATGGAAAGAAAGAAAGAAAGAAAGAAAGAAAGATGGTGAAATAAAGAAGAAAAAGAATGTAGACGGTATGGAAAGAAAGAAAGAAAGAAAGAAAGAAAGAAAGAAAGAAAGAAAGAAAAGAAAAGGGAGAGTGTAAAGATGAATGAAAAAGAAAAAAAGAAAGAACGGGGTCTACAGAAAGATTAATAAGAAAAGAAATATAAAATGAATGAAAGTAAAAAAAAGAGGAAAAACGAAGAAAAAAGATTAAAATAATAATGGACACAGGCACGAAGAAAAAAAGATACAGTGTAACCCGGATATAAGAGACCGGATATAAGAGAAACCCGGATATAAGAGCGATTTTCTCTGGTCCCAAATTAGAGCCTGTGTTAATGTATATAAAATAGACCAAACCCGTATATAAGAGAAACCCGGATATAAGAGACTTCTTCTCCGGTCCCGACAACTCTCTTATATCCGGGTTACACTGTAGCAGAAAATAAGGAAGAAAAGCATGAAAAAAAAAGGAAACAGAAATTAGAAAATAATGGAGCAAATAAGCGTGGAAAAGAAAGGAAAGATACGAACAAATGAATTGAAAAGACACTTAGAAAGCAGAAAGAAATAATAGGGAAGGGGAAAAAGGGATGAAAAAGAAGACGAAAATGCACGAAGAAAAATATAGAAGGGTTAAAAAAAATGGAAGGATGGAAAAATAGAAAGAAAGAACAGAGGGAATAACAAAGAAAAATAAAGACTGAAAGAAAGAAAAAGACAAAAACGGAAGATGAATGAAATAATGAACATAGGGAAAAAAAAAATAAAGGAAGCAAAGAAGCAAGAAAATAGAAGACGGGGCTGATAGAACGAATTAGGATGAAAAATAAAGAAATAGAAGAAAGAAAAAGAAAGAAAAGTCCAAAGAGAATCAAGATAGACGTATAATTCTGGAATGAAGAAAGAAAATGAATCGAATGAAAAAAGACAGTTTACGAAAACGACAAGAGAAACACCATTCTTATTGAAAAAACCAATTAAAACAAGAAATAAGTTGTACCGAAATCCACCGTCAAAGTAAAAAAAAAAACAAAATGACTAAAGAGAAGATCATTTTCTACGCGTTATCTTTTCCCGCGTAACCAGAGTCACGTCGCCGACATTTCAACGTACAATGGCGACTGGTCTTCCTGCTTAACACAGACCCCCGGAAATACACAACGCCTTAAGAAAATGCAGATGACGTCCTCTATTCATACATACACACACATACAAACACTTTTTTTTATTTATATATATATACATTTTCTTTTTATTGATATTTATTTTCCATTTGCTTTCTAGGTGGAGTGACATTTTTTAATCAATTGCAACATCATTGTCAAATAAGTATAAGGCGCTGTTGCTTTCATAAAAATGTTTCATCTCGTAATACGTTTTTTTTCGGCCAATCAAACGTCAGTACATAATGAAGAAGATAGCAAACTTTCTATTGTCGAATTCTAAGATAAAGCTTTGAATAAACGACAAAAGACGAGAGAATCAATACAAAAAAGTAAAGTATCATCAAGATTTGCATTGCAGAAGTTTCGACAGCGAAGATAGTTGTTCATTCTCAGAAGCAGCATTGCGAAAAATTAAATTTAGCTAAAATGCAATCGTTCGAGATTACATATATATATATATATATATATATATTCTTCGTTTGGTGTTAAACACAATATCTTCAGTGAACATCATTTTGTAATCATTCCGATCCACTCGCCAGGAGGTATCTTCAACTGCCTACCAATTTCCCAATTTCACACTGTCCTGGGTAAGACGATAAACTAGTTCCGCATCCTGGGTATGACGATAAACTACGTCCGCGTCCTGGGTATGACGATAATCTACGTCCGCGTCCTGGGTAAGACGATAAACTACGTCCAACAGCAACGTCTCTTATCAGGAGGTTTTCAGGAGCGTGGAACGACCTCTTAATATCTAGCGTTCCCAGGTCGACCAAGATCCGAAGTGGTAGCACCTGTAGCGTCCGAGCTATGTGCAAATAGTTGCCACTCCCCAAAAAAACTGGGATCTAAGCACTATACATATTTCTGAAGACAAAATATTGCCAGCAATAGATTTTTGAAAATATATATATATATATATATATATATATATATATATAGATAGATAGATAAAATTAGTGTTCAATATATATATATATATATATATATATATATATATTAATTCCCAAGAGGATAGAATTCAAGTAGAACTCAATGTCCAGGACAGAGTTTGAATTTGTAGGTCTGATGAATTGGATGGTGATTACGATTCCAAAGTAATAAATTATAACCATGTAATATTAGTGTTTGGGCCTTATATACATACATATATATATATATATATATATATATATATATATATATATATATATGTGCGTGTGTGTGTGTGTGTGTGTGTGTGTGTGTGTGTGTGTGTGTGTGTGTGTGTGTGTGTTGTTAGCAATAGATTTTAAAAAAATATATTACCAGCAATATAAAATTTTATCGGAATTAGATAACCCATTGAGGTTGATAAGCCGTAAAACAAACCAAAGGCAAAAATATTACCAGCAATAAAAATCTTGTCGGCATTAAGTAACCCATTGTGGTTCATAAGCCGTAAAAGAAACCAACGAAAAACTACGTAACCAATTTCTCATTTTCGTTATTTTTATATAAATTAAAAAAAAATATGATGTGCTTTTTATTGGTGTTAGTTTGACTGTTTCGTTTCCTTTGTGTGTGTGTATATGTGTGTGTGTGTGCACCCGTGTATATGTGTGTATGTGAACAAATGTAGAATGTTGTGGCTATTTCTTCTTTTCGAAATGTTCTTGTCTTCTTATATTCTGCCACTAATACTTCTCTTTCTTTTCTTCATCTTCCGACTCTGAGTGTTTTTTTTTTTTATATAAATATAAAAGTGGCCATTGAGGTTATGACCCAACGGCTTCATGCATAACCAAAATCTCCAGGCCTGGCGATCCTGTTTAAGTATAAAACAGATTGTGGTGGCAGGGTGTTGACCTTAATGTCAATTTTTTATTAACATTATTTTGATATTGATCAAATTAACACTTGAATATAGCATAGCTCAAAACTATATTTCATCCACTATTTACATTACTCAGACCATTGTCCTCATCTATGTCACCGTTGTACGCTCCGGCCTTCTTCAGGTCATTGGAATGTCGAACTGAACCCTTTATTTCGCTCACTGGGGTAGACTGTTCTAGTTCCACGTGTCATTTTTTTTTCAATGGATGTCAGTTATCAGTTATCTCCTGTTAATTCTCCTCTCCAAGTTCTCCACTGCCTTCACCGGCTATTGAACTCACACTCTTTAGGTCCTGTCACTGGCTCTAACTAACGATTTTATCCACTGTGCCATGTATCCTTGAGAACTGTCTACCCCAGTGAGCGAAATAAAGAGTTCAGTTCGACATTCCAATCACCTGAAGAAGGCCGAAACGTTGTAATAAATATGGCGACAAAGATGAGGATAATAGTTCGAATAATGGTAATAGTGTACATAATACCTCATCTCAGAAATAGACAGATATATTTCATCCATCGTGTTTGTGTGTATATATATATATATTGATTGCACACAATTAGTACATCTGAATATCATGCACGGCGCAGTCGTCAGGTGCGGATTGAAAACTGAACGTTGTAAAATTTAGATATTGATATTGTACTCTTATGAAATGTGAGAAGTTCATTAATTTACGAAGGGCAATAGTTATATAATTGTAAACAACGGCTTATATACATGGTTGTCCAAAAACCATCAAGGGATTGAAAAAAATATATATATTTTTAGCTTCATGGTATGAATATAGAGTAGATATTGAAAATAGATACAGGGTGTATAGCACAGTTATCCAAACGGTGTTCCAGCCTAATTGTCCATCCTACAATATGTTTAACACTTTAAAAAAAATTCTTGTTTTTCAGATATGACGTTTCGTCATCTTGACACCATTTGTAGTAATAATCAGTGAAAAACCCTTTGAGTCGTTCAGTATGAAAGCAAACAGGTTACAATTGTTTTGTGTCAGTCCCACTCTCTTCGTAACTGAGCAATGGTGAGAGGAAAAAATCATTCACGTCTTCTGTAATGGTAGCAACAGTCGTATTCTGAATTCCGTCTTTAAAGTCGTCCATTCAAGAGAACTGTGAATAAGTTTAAAAAACAGAAGAAACAGTAGAGAAAAAAACTGGATCAGGAGGTCACAACAGGAAACCTTATTTAGTATTTATTTTTCCTCGGTAGAATTAGATAGGTTCGCGTATCATTCAGTTCACAATTCTCCCCAGTCTTGGAAACAGGTATAGAGGTCTATCTCTTGTTTCTTGTTTAAGATTGGATTATCCGGTAGTTTCTAAAGGCAACTCTATACGTCTAATATCTTCACTTAAACTCTGAAACCTTATTTACTATTTATTTTTCATCAGTAGGATTAGATAGGTTCGTAAATCATTATTTACTTGTTTTTATTGTTTTTTTTTCTTCAATAGGAGTAGATGGATTCGTCTATCGTCCAGTTCATGACTCTCCTCGGTCTTTTGACCGGCAATAGATGTCTATCCCTTGTTTCCTGTACAGGATTGGGTTTCCGGTTCCTTCTAAGGCCTTTTTATTCTCTTTCACACCCAGGAACAACTTGCATCTTAGTGGCATCATCACCTTGCTTGGGAAAAAACAGACAAGGATTGTTTGAAAGAAACGATGTGAGAGAAGTGTTTTATTCAACGATAATATTTATTAAGCCTAACGAATGCTATTTTTATAGACAAACAATGTCTTCAACAAAAGTAATATCAAAAGAAGATAAAAGTGAAAATTAGTGAGAAAAATATACAAGAAAAACATGCAAAATTTTCTTTTTGTAGTAATGGAGTTTATTTGAAACAAAATCTAAATGCTGAAATAATTAACACGTTTTAGCAAATTAAATTTATCCCTGGGGAGGATAATTATGTAAAAGCGCGGTCCTTTTTGCGCAGGCGTACAACACTTGGCGATTTAAACGGAAGTATAGGAACGCTACCAGCAACAGTAGCTGGACTTTTAGTGTGAGCAATCGGCAGAGCTGAGTGTCGTCTGTTTTGTGGCCGTAAATCCTGACTTCCATTGGTGTTATCTCGTGAATGTCGCCATTTCCTGTCACATCAGGCGTTCTCTTGCTTTTCTCTCTCTCTCTCTCTCTCTCTCTCTCTCTCTCTCTTTCTTTGTGTTCCTTTCTTTTGTGTTTTATTTTTATTTTCTTTCTTTTTATCTTTTTGATTTTTTTTTTACTTTTCTATAGTCTTGATTTTATTTCTTTATTTCTGTATTTATTTCAATGATATTGGCTCTCTTTTTTCTTTTTTTTTGATTTCGTAGATTTTTCTTTCTTTCTTTCTCCAAGCAAAGCGTGAATGCAACTCGTACGCAAGAGATTATAGGTTGCGAAAGTGAAGACTGAGAATAAGGAGGATTGAGAAAATGACAAAAGATGAACGGCGCAAGTCAAAAAAGATAGATGGCGATTGCAGTTGCATTTACTCTTAAACCAAACAGTTAATAAAACTACTGAAGGAAGTCTTGTTCCATTAGGACAATGTTCCAGCAGAAGAATAATCGGTTTCAATGGCTGATGTACATGCCTGGTTTTAAACTTGTTGATCACCCACTATATTTTCCGGATTATCATCTGTTCCCTAACATGAAAAAAAAAACCTGGCTGCAAAGCAGTATCGCAGTACTGATGACGTTATACCTGCTGTTGGTGATTTTAGAACTAATACGATGAACCGTCTTCTTTGAATCCTTAGAAGTCAGCCTACTTGGAATAAATCAATGCATATATTAATAGGATGTGCTGAAATTAATGCATACAACATTTCACAGCTCCTAGCACCACTTTTTCATTGTTGGTCTATGAACTTTTCAGCCCGCCATCATATATTTTTTGTTTCTTCCTCGAGCTAAAATTAACCATTGACCGTTATCTTTCCCACGTATCATAATAAACCTTGCCTCTTACTTTGTAAACCTATACCTCAAGTGGCTCTTGGGCCTTGTACAGAACGAATATCATCGTAAAAAATGAAAAAAAAAACAAACAAAAAAAAACTAAAGAAACTTGATTCTATTTGTAATTCTGAGGAGATACCGAATAGTGGGGCTGAAACCTGAAGTATACCGCAGGATATGGCAGCCGATAATGTTAGGAGTATAACAACCTTTTCATCCGAATAGCAAAGGCAAAGCTTATATTGAATGTATTTTTTTCTTGATTGTAAGGTCGTGTCTCTTTCAAGCATTCCTGATAAAGGACCATTTCGCAACAAAAGAGAATCATAGTTTTATATATATATATATATATATATATATATATATATATATATATAAAGTATTATTTGTGTCTGGTATGTCTGAAGGAATTCTGAGAAACCATTATATTGCTTTTGGTGTCCCAGATATTTAAAGACAGAATAGGGAATATGGCCGACTTGAGTTGCGATAAGTTCTTTGTTATTTTTTTTTCTCTTTCTTTTTCGTGACATTGTTTTTAGGTCGAGAGCCGGCGGATCATTTTTTTTTTCTTTTCGGTGGTTTTACTTGTCGGCTCGTGGTACAGTAGAGAAGCCCATGCTGGAAAGAATGATCCGGTGAAAATTACAAGAGATAGTGCGAGATGGTAAAAGGTTGCAGAGTGGAGTGGTTGGTCGGGAAGAAAATGAATAACAAGACGGGAACTGAAATAACTTGCTTGTTAGAACAAACTATTCAACATTGAATATTTACAGAGAAGAGGAAAAAAAAGTCTTCGTAAGCAGTCGTGTTTGAAAGTCAATATTAAAGTTCATGTTTCTTTGTCGATGAAGCGAACTATGTATTGAAACTTTCTCATTCTTTCCTTCTTTCTCTCGATCTTTTTACTAGTTTTTTTTTAACAAGTAATGAGGAGCGAATATGTATTTCGTCTCATACACACTTTCAAGTGATAAAAATATGAAAAAACAAAAATCACGACTTTTATATATATATATGTTTCTATATTCTTTTAAATTTCTTCTTCGTAGTTCATTACTGCCCTTAGGCCGAGGACGAATAGTTCTTTACTTGTAAGAAAAGATAAAAAAAATCAACCCCAAAAAGAAGAAAAGAATGATGAACCGGAAAAGAACAGAAACAAAATATCGCCAGTGGATACAAGAAAGCCTACCAGGAATAAAGAAAAGTAACCCATATACAAACAACATGGAGTCCGTTCGTGTAATTTTATTTTTATATTCATGAGTACAAGGTATTTACTAAACTAGGCTTAGTCAGGTACAAGTCCACAAATGTTTGCGAGAGTAAAATTTAGATAATAAAGAAATAAAGCTAATAAACTAAAGATATTGAATCTTTTCTGTTAATTCACCCCGCATATATATATATATATATATATATATATATAATTATTTATTTAAAAATATGATTCCAAATCGCTACATAAGAGGTCTCATGTTTCAAAACAAGAGCCGAAAACTTCAATATAATCCTTTAAATTAAATTGAGTTGAAATTAAAAGGGCTCCGTTCCATCTTCAAGCGAATTTTTTGTTGAATAACGTATATCTGAAATTTACTTGTTTTAAAAAGTTGAAATCAAAATCACCATGGTAACAGCTAGGGCGGATTGTCTAAAATGGGTAGGCGAGTGTAGGGTGTTAATGATGAGTGGCGGTATAGAGATACTTTCAAGGTGTCAAGTCGGGGAAGGTGAGGGTGTTAAAAAAAGAAACGAAGATGTATTAAGCCTTCGTCATGTTGGCTTGTCTATGGAGATTTATTTATTTATTTTATTTTGTTTTATTATGAAAGGAATTGTGCATATAAAAAAGAAAAACTTTCGTGGCGTTTGTTTTTTGACGACTTCATAAAGGGTTATCTTTTATGTAAGGTATTTAAACTACTAATTTGGGCTATGGATTATGAAGGGTGTTATATTTGTATGCAAGTTTGTAGTTAATAATTTCTACTATGAATCTGATGATTGGGTTATTTGTTAAACAAGTTATATAAAATTTTTTATTTCAAACCAAAATCTGATGATGCCTACAAAAAACCGTTAACTCGTGTCTATTATTTAATAGATTATTATTATTTAGAAGTTTACTAATGTGTAATTTTTCATGGAGGCACAAAGGGCATGGGTCATCCCAAGCTTTACATATTCTAGCCTTGTCAATAATTTTCCATTTAACTTTTGGTGTCTTATTTGTTTCCTTCAAGTGCCAAAAATATTTTGATAGTGAAGTCTGGTTTCTTTTGTTTAGATTATTAAAGGAGCACTTATGCTGCCTCCATCTATCTTTAAAATTATTCTTCGTGGACCCAATGTATATGAGCCCTTTTTAATTTCAACTCAATTTAATTTAAAGGATTATATTGAAGTTTTCGGCTCTTGTTTTGAAACATGAGAGACCTCTTATGTAGCGATTTGGAATCATATTTTTAAATAAATAATTATATTTATGCTCTACTTTTTTGTATGAGCACTATTTTTAAAAAATAAAATAATAACAAAAAATACTAAGGAACTTTGGACTATTTACCTAACCAGTTCCTTCCTATTTTCTATATATTTTCACATATATATATATATATATATATATATATATATATATATATATATATATATATATATATATAAACTATGTATAAAATATATGAGATAAACCCAACCAGACTGCAATGGAACGGTCTCGCTGTGGAAAAGATTTGGTGTCTATTTTAGGAAATACATATATATGTATATTTTTGGTCATCCTCTATGTAAACAATAAATAAAAAGTTTAATTTCACAACATACGGCTTTTTAATCAGGAGCAGAGGTTTATTCATTGTTTCTTCTTTAGAATTAGATTTAGTTCCTTCTAAAGTCTTTTAATTGTCTTTCACTCCCAGTAGTCCCTTGCATCTTAGAGGCATTACCACGTTGTCTCAGGCAAATTGATTTATATATATATATATATATATATATATATATATATATATATATATATAGAGAGAGAGAGAGAGAGATAGATAGATAGATAGATAGATAGATAGATAGATAGATAGATAGATAGATAGATAGATATTGTTAGATTAAGCTTTGAAAACCTGCAAAAATGCTAGATATTAAACATTTTGTTTGATGGACAATTATCGCATGCCTGTTACATTATTTTCGACAAATTTGCTGTTAAACCCGTTATATATATATATATATATATATATATATATATATATATATATATATATATATATATATATTTGTGTGTGTGTGTGTATACACTTTACAACATTAAAGACCTGTTATTTAGTGATTTAGTTAATTCCAATTGTAAAAGAATATTTGCACTGCTTAATATAAATAAACATTGTGTGTTCATTTGTGAAGAAGTTTTGACAAATTTGAAATTCAATGTTCTTTAATAGGACTCGCTTTGATTATACCAACGGATTACTACCTATATATATATATATATATATATATATATATATATATATATATATATATATGACTGGTGTAACAGAAAAAATTATCGAAACTCGTAAAACATGCGATAATAATACGGAAAGAACAAATTTATAATCCACACTTCTTTACTATATGTGTGTGTGTATTATATTATATATATTATAATATATATATATATATATATATATATATATTATAATATAATATAATAATATATATTATGATATATATTATATATATATATATATATGTGTGCGTGTGTGCGTATTAATGTGCAAATCCAAGACCTTCGCATTCCTGTTGGAATCCCTGCATCTGCCAAATCTATAAAATGTCTACATTCTTTTGCATTTTTATCGCTCATTCTGATTTTATTCTCATCATAAATATCGCATTTCTTGTTCCAGTGATCTTGACAAAGGTGCGCTGTTGTTTTTCTATTTATGGCTTAATTATTTGCTCTCTATTCATCCGAATTAGGATTTTTAGCTTTCTTCTGTGGCTCATTAAGCTGATGGCATTCACTTGCTTCTAGTTTCTTAGCCAATGCTACAAATTATAGACCTTCTGAGATTTTCTATTCTCTCGCCCCTGTCGTATATTTCATTTATTACGTTACTGTCGATGTCGAAAACTTCCGTGGTTGAGAGGGTTTCTATGGCAATGGCATCTTGTCTTGCTGCCTGTTGCTGTTCGCAGATAGGCACTGAAAACAGATTTTTTCTGGCCGGGGAACAGTCGATTTTGTCTTGACATGACATGAGACATTAATCTAATAAAAAAAAAACAAAACAAAAACACAAACATAATAGTTCCTTTTTAGCAACATTTGTCGTTCTATATCAAGATATATATATATATATATATATATATATATATATATATATATATATATGTGTGTGTGTGTTGGTAACAGAAGCCAATAATGTGCGCTGTCATATTACCGAATAAAGCAGTTGGCATCGAAGTGCCACTCTTGCAACAAATCTGTACACATACTTTATTTAAAATTGACTGCCTGTTTATCAATATCTACTTTTATTTATCTCGTTTTTATATCTATCAATATATCGAACTCTCTGTCTACCAAAAACTGTTCTTGCCTACTTACGGATCCATCAATATGTCTGACTTTTTCTGTTCGTATCTATCTATCTATCTATCTATCTATCTATCTATAAATTTGTTTATATCTGCCTCAGTCTCTTCATATCTACCTCTATCTATAAATGTGTTTCTATCTATCTATCTATCTATCTATCTCATTTTGTTCATATCAATATCTCTCTCTCTCTCTATCTATCTATCTATGCATCTATAAATGTTTTTATCTGTCTATCTATCTATATATCTAAGACTATTCATATCTATCTATCTATCTATCTATCTATCTATCTATCTATCTATCTATCTAAGACTATTCATATCTATCTATCTATCTATCTATCTATAAAATGTCATTTTGAATTATTATTTTCCATGCAGACAGTTCCTCTCTCGGTTGAAGATTGGCACAATATGATTATCCTATTCTTATTTCTACTGATTTGTCCATTTGTCACTGAAATGCAAATTTGGTCAATCCATTTATTTATCTGTGAGAAAGAGCATAAAAGAGAGAAAAAATAAAATAAAATCGAAGATTGTGGCACTGTGACCAATTTTTTCCTGGTTCCTTTGATTTGGTCCTCTCCAGAACTAAACTTCGGACAAACTCTTTTATCTGATTTTCTAAGCGCATCCAATCAGAAGATCGATCATATATCTATCAACGCTATGTCAGAAACCTAAAGAGAGCATACTCAATAGACAAGACTTCACCTATTTTCTTGTAAGTTGTGGGTTCAATCCTCTCACCGTTTAGTAGAGACGCGGCTGAACATCAATAGGAGAAATGATCGTTGCGAGTTGAGAAATAACATTTCCAGGTAGGGCGCCATTACAAAAAAAAAAAAAAATGGGTGAGAGGTTTAAATCAAATCTTAAAAGAAACGGCTCTAAATTAGTTTTACATATTCCTTTTTTTTTGGTAAGGGGGACTTCTTTCTTTCGTTTTGAGTGCCATGTCCTTTCAGCACGTAGGCGATCATGGCTCTCCACCTCCCTCTATCCCATGCAGCTCTCAACAAGTTCCTTCACTCTGCTTCCTCCCTCAGACCATGTTCTGACATCCACTTGCTTAATGTATCTTTCTTTTTTTTATGTGACATATCCTTTCAGGACGGAGGCGATCATGGCACTCCACCTCCCTCTATCCCTTGCAGCTCTCAACAAGTTCCTTCCCTTTGCTTCCTCTCCCAGACCACGTTCTGTCATCCACTTGCTTATTGTATCTTTCTTCTTTTTATGTGACATACCCTTTCAGGACGTATGCGATCATGGCTCTCCACCTCCCACTATCCCTTGCAGCTCTCAACATGTTCCTTCCCTTTGCTTCCTTCCACAGACCACTTTCTGCCATCCATTTTCTTATTGTATCATTCTTCTTTTCCTGTGCCATATCATTTCAGGACGTAGGCGATCATGACTCTCCACCTCCCTCTATCCCTTGCAGCTCTCAACAAGTTCCTTCCCTTTGCTTCCTCTCCCAGACCACGTTCTGTCATCCACTTGCTTATTGTATCTTTCTTCTTTTTATGTGACATACCCTTTCAGGACGTAGGCGATCATGACTCTCCACCTCCCTCTATCCTTTGCAGCTCTCAACAAGTTCTTCCTCTGATTCCCTCCCCAGACCACGTTCTGTCATCCACTTGCTTATTTTATCTTTCTTCTTTTTTATATGCCATATCCATTCAGGACCAAGTCGAACATGACTCTCCACCTCCCTCTATCCCTTGCAGCTCTCAACAAGATCCTTCCCTCTGCTTCCTCCCCAAGACCACGTTCTGTCATCCACTTGCTTATTGTATCTTTCTTCTTTTTTTATGTGCCATATCCATTCAGGACGTAGGCGGTCATGACTCTCGCCCTCCCTGTATCCCTTGCAGCTTTCAACATGTTCCTTCCCTCTGCTTCTTCCCCCAGACCATTCTGTTATCCACTTGCTTAATGTATCTTTCTTCTTTTTATATGCCATATCCTTTCAGGACGTAGGCGACCATGACTCTCAACATCCCTGTGTCCCTTGCAGCTCTCAACCAGTTCCTTCCCTCTGTTTACTCCCCCAGACCACGTTCTGTCATCCACTTGCGTATTGTATCTTTCTTCTTTTTATATGCCATATCCTTTCAGGACGTAGGCGACCATGACTCTCCACCTCCCTCTATCCCTTGCAGCTCTCAACAAGTTCCTTCCCTCTTCTTCCACCCACAGAGCACGTTCTGTCTTCCCCTTGCTTATTGTATCTTTCTTCTTTTTATGTGCCATATCCTTTCAGGACGTATGTGACCATGACTCTCCACCTCCCTCTATCCCTTGCAGCTCTCAACAAGTTCCTTCCCTCTGCTTCCTCCCCAAGACCACGTTCTGCCATCCACTTGCTTATTGTAACTTTCTTCTTTTTATGTCCCATATCCTTTCAGGACGTAGGTGACCATGACTCTCCACCTCCCTCTATCCCTTGCAGCTCTCAACAAGTTCCTTCCCTTTTCTTCCTCCCACAGACCACGTTCTGTCATCCACTTGCTTAATGTATCTTTCTTTTTATGTCCCATATCCTTTCAGGACGTAGGCGATCATGGCTCTCCACCTCCTTCTATCCCTTGCAGCTCTCAACAAGTTCCTAGGCCCTCTGCTTCCCCCCCCAGACCAAGTTGTTTTCCCCCAGACCACTTGTCATTAATGTATGCTCTTTCTTCTTTTTTATGTGCCATATCCTTTCAGGACGTAGACGATCATGGCTCTCCACCTCCCTCTATCCCTTGCAGCTCTCAACAAGTTCCTGCCCTCTGCTTCCTCCCCCAGACCAAGTTGCTTTCCACTTGCTTAATGTATCTTTCTTCTTTTTATGTGACATATCCTTTCAGGACGTAGACGATCATGGCTCTCCACCTCCCTCTATCCCTTGCAGCTCTCAACAAGTTCCTTGCCTCTGCTTCCTCCCCCAGACCACGTTCTGTCATCCACTTGCTTATTGTATGTTTCTTCTTATTATGTGACATATCCTTTCAGGACGTAGGTGACTATGACTCTCCACCTCCCTCTATCCCTTGCAGCTCTCAACAAGTTCCTTCCCTCTGCTTCCTCCCCCAGACCTCATTCTGTCATCCACCTGCTCAAGTCCGCCAGGAATGTCACGCGGTGATATCCCCGTCTCTCTTTGTTCGGCCCGTATAACATCCTCAAGAACCACCTCCATCATTATGGGTCCCGGAAACCTCAGCTGCCTCTTCCTGATGCCTCCTCCTTGTTTTCAACCACTCTAAGGCCTCATCATCGCACACACGTTTGGTCTATGATATCCTGAGCATCCTTCTGTAGAACCACATCTCCGTCGCCTCGAGTCTCTTCTTCGTCTTTGAGGAAATCGTTCAACATTCGCTGCCGTAAAGAAGGACAGTTATCATGTTACAGCTCAGTATTCTTTTTTCTTTGTTACCAAAGAAATCCTCCTGTTTCGCAATACTCTTCCCAGCTTTTGGAATGTTTTCTTGGCCATCCCAATACGTCTATGGATCCCGGTGAATCACTTCAAAACTGTCAAATCTCTTCCCAGTTATTTAAACTTCCGCGTTTGCTTGATTCTAGTGTTCTCCATCTTCAAAATCGGGCTCATCCTTTTACTGCTGAAATAAAATGATCATATTTTTCAGATATATTATCCAACTGTAATTTTCTTTTGATTTTAAATACACAATAGTTTTTTTTTTTATTTTAATCTTTTCCCTTACTGTTATTTTCTGTAATTAAATGACACATCAAATAGTATCTAGACTGTTGCTATATTAACAGAGCTAAACTATGCAGCGCGAAGCTTTTTGGCAGAGAGCGACCTTGAACAGTATCACGCATGCACACTATATAACGTTCTCGCTGCTTACTTCCTTTGTTTTTAGCAGTGTTTGGAAGGAAAGTGTGTAGAGTGTGGTCGTCTCATCACGCCACAGGGGTTCTATCATGGGCCATGACAGAGAAAATTCAGCATAGAATCTGCTTCAGATTTTCCAGGATCGATAATCACCATATTCCCCAGATCTCGCCCCTTGCAACATTTTCTTCTTTCCAAAAATCAAATCCAACTCGAAACCAGAAGGATTTTAAGACGTCGAGGAAATGGAAGAGAACGCGATGAGGCGGCGGCTCGCTATCCCAAAAAATGAATTCCAAGAATGTTTCTATCAATGGAAACGACGCTGTCTAATGTGTACGGCTTCAGAAGATGAGTACTTCGAAGGGGATTATATACCGAATTGCTATGTTTTGTAGTTTTTTTTTTATAGCAGCGACCCCGAGAATTTTTTTTAATCAGATTCGTACATATTTTAGAAGTTCATATTACAAGAAAAAAAGTCCGAGAATTTTTTAAAATTAATGGACGCAATGGTTTTAACAAAATGATACAACTCAGCGCAGTACCTTTGCCATGGATTGATATTAAGTGTTTTGTCTAGTTCTCAGCTAAAGCAAAAAAGTAACGGGCCGAGGGACTGAAAGACGCCCCATCTCCATCTCTATAGTGCCGTTGACGAATTTGACCGGTAAATAAAATGAGAATGAAAATTTGTAATCTCCATTAAATGAAGCGTTCTTTCACGAATCTAACAGGTAAGGTGTACAAAGTTTAGTTGGTTTTTCTAGGATGCGTAGTTTGGTACAATAAAGTTCCTTTAATTTTTTGAAAAATAAAAGTTTTATTATCTAACTAGGGATCTCCACTGAATTTTCGATACCTAAAGTTTAAAATTAATCTTTAAAAATGAAAAAGTATTCTTGAAGTTTTCATTTTAGCTTTAATTGAAATCTTAATGATTAAATTTACTATTTCCAGTAAGTCAAATATTCTGGTGTATTTCAATTAAAAATGATATAGATTAGAATCTCAACTTTTTGGCCGATTTAAGAAATTTTCTTAAAAGCGGACATTTTCTTAATTTTAAGAAATTTGTAAACAAAAAAAGATATCGATTTTTAAGATCTTCCAAAAATAAAAAAAATATATATTTTTTCTACGTAATTTTAGTAAAATTAGCAAATTTAAAGTTAAATTAATCTGATTTGAAATAAATATTACTTATAGCATAAAAAATATAGTATACAAGCATTTCTTAACAACGGGTCCTCTTTTGATCATGTCTTTATTGATGTTATCGACATCACCGATAAATTTGTTTTTATTGAATTTGGGGCCTTTTTTCATCATGCTACGCATTTTTTTTTTTTTTGCGCGCGCGATCAAGTGGAGGTACTTATATTTAACATGCAAAATACTGCCACTATTTAAAAAAATAATCTAATGATTATAATAGCAAATACTTATTTAATATTAATGCAATATTTTTTTTGCATATATTTTCTTTTAAATTTTTATATACCAGAATCCAGTTTCCAGTTCGGCCTGCGCTTTGTGAGAACTATAAACAAATCACAAGGCCAAAAAGTTGGAATTTGGCTCCAGAAAGAAATATTTATGCATAGGCAGTTGTGTGTTGCATGCCCAAGAGTAAGAAATCCTAAGAATTTGTTCTTCGCTGATAAAAAAAAGAAAGAAAACGTTTTCTTAAAAAATATTGTTTCCTTTAGAATTAAATTAAGTAAAAGTTTTGTCATAGTATTTTTTCTAAACAAGTCAGCCTATTCAAATTTCATCGACTGATTTGTGAATTTGAAAGATACAGAGAGTTTGTAAATTTCTACAAAAATGTTAGTGATAATTTCAACCATACTAAACATTGTGAGGACTTCAAAATGCGTCAGTGTGTTGCAAAAAAAATTCTAGTTTGGCAAAAAGAAAACATTGTTATTCTAATTTTAATAAATTATCTTACTTATTGTAAAACGCAGATTGTGTGTGTGTGTGTGTGTGTGTGTTTGTGTGTGTGTGTGTGTACGTTTATATATTGGATCGAATTTCCTACATTTTTCAACCGATTTCAACAAAACTTCACTTTTTTTGGCAGGTGGTGTTTCTTATTGTTTTGCACACTTTTTTCTTTACTTTTACATTCAAAATGCTTTAAAAATTCCATTTACAAGACAATTGTTTATAATCAAATTCTATTCAATCGGTAGACTCATAACGATTGAAAACAATTTTTTGTTTGAATTTAACCAATTCGTAAAAACAAAAAAACAAAAAGAAATAAAACTAATTAAGACATGCGTGTCCGTCAACCTTAAACAATAATCTTTGTCAATTTTATTTTTCAGTCTTTATGATGGTCGATACTTGATCTATCTCTTACTGTTACATCCCCGGGCAACTCCGGGCTCTACTGCTAGTTTACGATAAAACAACAAGAAAAAAACCCCGCAAAAATGCAAACTATCTTTGACCGTTATAATAACACACAAGGTGTTGATAAGCCGTAAAAAACAAATTCATTCAATGTCAGAGTCTAGCAATTTTTCTTTGTCGATCTTCATGACTTTCATTGTAAATGTTTTAATTTCTATAAAATACGTCGGAACAGAATAACGTCGACGGTATTTTTAGCGTAAAACGGTGCGAATGTTCAAATGAATCAATTTTCTGTTTAATCAGCAGCGACTGGCCGACAGGAAAGCAGACTAACGACACGACCGACCTCATTTTAAAGCCGAAGTTAAAGTCTCGAGGTGACGAAATGATGGGTAATTGAGTAGGTAGGTGCAGAGTGTCGTTTCATTGTCCATGGGCTTGTTTATATGACGGAGTTATATTAAATGTGTGTGTGTGTGTGTGTGTGCCTGTGTGCATGCGTACTCGTGCGGTTGTGTGTATGCAGATGTGTGGGTTACTGTTGATATCCTGTTGCAGGATGTAACGAAAGCATTCAATGTCCCAAGTAACAATGTTCGAGGCAGCTTGACAGTTTTTAACTCAAAGTTTAATTTCCGGTTGAAAGCTGAACAAAAAAGAAAAAAAAAAAAAAAAAAAAAGAAAAAGAAAGAAACAAAAAACCTCCCTACATGTTTATTTATAATTGTATCCAGGTGTCCGTATGTGCGTGTATATATATACAATATATATATATATATATATATGTATATATCAATTCATCCGAAGCAAGGCGATAATACCACTAAGACGCAAGAGGCTACTCTCAGTGGTAGAGAATGACAAGGCTTTAAGGAAGTGTAAGCCCAATATTGAACCGGAAATAAAAGATGAACTTCCGGTACAACACACTGAGAAGGTGTGGGAACCGGATGAGAGGCAACATATATATTTGTATTGTACACAAAATAAATAAAAAATAAATATTACATAAAATTTTACCGTCTGTACCGAGACGTTGAAGTATAACTCTAGACAAAACTAGAAACCTCATCCTAAATACGGAAATAAAGGATAAACATTCTGTTCAAATGATCAGGAGGAGTGAGAACCGGACGACGGGTTATATATATATATATATATATATATATATATATATATATATATATATGTATGTACGTATGTGTGTGTGTGTGTGTGTGTGTGTGTGTGTGTGTGTGTGTGGATATATACACCTGGTGTGATATAAAAATTGTCCAAATCTTGTATCAGCAAAATTGTCCATTTTTTTAGTTTAAGCATTGAAGCGTTGTATTTTAGAAATGATTAAATATATCTTACTGGTATTCTCAAAGATTTTCATAACACTATTGGAACCCTAATTTCAACAATAATAATGTATTTTGCTCGAAGATTAGATGAGTATCTCTCTTTTTCTGATCCAGTTTTTCTCTCTACTGTTTTCGCTTTTTAAAACTTATTCCCCGTTCTCTTGATGGTTCATGTATCGATTCTGAAGATAGAAGCCAGAGTATGAATGTTGGTACCATTACTGAAGGCCTGAATGATCTTTTTCCTCTCACCATTGCTCAGTTGAGAAAACATGGTTGAGGCAAAACGATTTTAACCTGTTTTCTTTCTAGCTGAATAACTAAAAGGGCTTTTCAGTGATTCTTATTGTTGTGGCCTCTTTAGGGGCCAGAAAGAAAGACACGGAAGACGAAGTTAGGTTGAAAAAGTATATTGAAGATATATTCAAAAGAATAGTGTTAGTAATAAGTAGATTAGCACTGCGTCTACTAATTTACTCCACTTCACACTCTTCGCCTATCTGACTCTCGCAGTTTGTATTTATGAGAGGAGGAAGAGTTCATTCTACTGTAGGAGGGTTTACCACAACACTTATGACAAATGCAGTTAAGATAGCTAAACGTCTTATCTGGAAAAAAAAAAGAAACTCATTTAGTTTAGTGTTTTTTTTAGATATTAAACATTTTGTGGGATTGGCAACTATTCCATGTTGTGATACGATTTCGACAATTCTGCTGTTACATCCGATTCATTTACCGAACAGCCACTGCTACTGTTATTTGAAATCCATAAAATCTTTCTGCTCAATCTTTCAAGAAAATAGTCATCTCAAGTACATTAGCTGTTAACGCTCTTTTCAGTACTTATAGGGGGTTTCCTTTCTCGGCTTTTGTTTTAAGTAGGATGGAATTTCAACATTTTGATCTCATCTCATTATTTTCTCTTTGAGTTAAATGTAATATTTAATCAAGTTATTGCTGCTGATGTAAGTCCTAAAAAGTGATATGGTTTCTCTTATTTGGAACATTTCTTTGTGATTCTTTGGCGTCAGTCAGACAAGGTCCGAAAGGTGATGATCTTCTCTGAGACTTATAGACTTCCTTCAATGGAAGCCATTTTTAATTATCGATCTGAGAAAACGGTTCTATGCAGCTGACAGTTTAGTCATTTTTTAACGTGTTGGTCGCCATGATTGATATCCATATTTAGAGTTTCCATATGAAAAGGCTATTTCTGAACATGACTTGAATTTTAGGTTAAAGTTTTAGTTCTGTAGCAAACTTTGAACGAAACTACCCCGAGCATAACCTATTTTACAGTATGATTTGGTATATATTATTTTAGGACATATCAATCTCAATGGGTTACTAAATGCTGAGAAGATTTTTAGGATAGGTTTGTATATATTCTTTGTAAACAATCAGTTTGTAGATCGGGTTTCATATTTTTGTAAAGGGCTTTTTCTGGTCTAAAGTCGTATGTATTGCTGGTAATATTTTTTTGAAAAATGTACTGCTGTTATTTTTAGTATAGAAATCTGTTTTTATACTTTCATAGTGTTTTCACCCTAATTTGCGGGTTAACTATTTGGCCATAGCTGAGTTCCTTACAGGTCCTACGGCCCCGGATTTGCCTGGCCTTAGAACAACAGCGATTAGAAAATGCTTCCAGGCTCCTCAAAACCTCCAAATAAGAGGCCTTGTTGCCGCATGTAGTATATGGTCACACACACAGGACGCACTATTCTATGTTCAAACTATTTATCTGTTACAGTAAATTTGTTACATCTAATCACTACATCAGGGTACTTGATAGATAGATAGATAGATAGATAGATAGATAGATAGATATAGATAGACTGAAATAGATATATACCTATATATGGTTAGATTGTTATACACATAGACAGACGATACAGATCGATGTGGGCAGACTGAGATAGATAGATAGATAGATAGATAGATAGATAGATAGATAGATAGATGATAGATAGATATCAGATAGACAGAGATAGATAGATAGATAGATAGATGGATAGATAGATAGATAGATAGATAGATATGGGTAGACTGAGATATGAACAGAATGAGATAGATAGATAGATAGATATAGATAGATAGATAGATAGATAGATAGATAGATATAGGTAGATGAGATAGATATGAGCTGGATAGATAGATAGATAGATAGATAGATAGATAGATAGATAGATAGATAGATAGATAGATGGGGAGATAGATAGATAAATAGAGATAGATAGATAGATATAGATGAGGGATAGATGATTGATGATAGAAAGATAGATAGATAGATAGATAGATAGATAGATATAGATAGATAGATGGCAGATTGAGATAGATAGATAGATAGATAGATAGATAGATAGATAGAGATATGATAGCAGATATGAGATAGATAGATAGATAGATAGATAGATAGATAGATAGATAGATAGATAGGTGACTGAGATTGTGGGCTGATTTGAGATAGATAGATAGATAGATAGATATGGGCAGACTGAGATAGATAGATAGATAGATAGATAGATATGCATGCTGAGATCAATATGAGCTTTGAGATAGATTCAAAGATAGATAGAGATAGATGTTTGGGCAGACTGAGATTGATGGATAGATAGATAGATAGATTATAGACTGAGATAGATAGATAGATGGATAGATGATAGATTAGATAGATAGATAGATAGACATCTGAGATATATGGACAGATTGAGATAGATTTGGTTTCAAAATTTAACCCCCCATGAATTCACTGCATGCATCAATATTACTTTTTCAAATTCCAGATCATGTTTCTGTTGGGTAATTGTTTATCTTAATATCTTTGTCAAAATCGAAGCCTTTCTTATCCCAACTATGAATATGGCGCATCCTCCTCTGTACCCTGACATTGGGAGGGAAAAAAAGAACGTTATTTTCTGGTAGTGGATTTATTTGGGACCGTTGGATGAACTCCTTTTAATGATCAGTAGTCATCAGTTTGCTGGTGTTGCTTGATGACAAATATGTCATCATTACACTCCTTCCAGCGCGAAAGCCAAGCTATGTCGTTAGGACTTGATTTTCATTGCACGATGGAAGTTTACTTAACAAAATGTGCATTAGTATGTCGTTCGCCATAATGAATCCAGTTACTTTGTACATTTGAAGGCCTTCTGGACTAGCTTTTCCTTTCCATTAGTAGATTAATGTGTGATATATACACCTTCTTTTGGATTTGCTTCTAAATGAAGATGTACTTCATGAAACCTGCTTTTATATTTGGTGAGAAGGAGTTCTTGATTAAAAGAAATAACGTCAATATCAAGGGAAACTTTGTTATGCCTTTTTTTCATAGTTTTCTTGATTTTTTTTTCATCATTAGTGTTATGGGATCGTACGCATAATAATAATAATAATGAAATATTCCATACTTAATAAATACTGCGCCTCAGGAGTAGGCAAGGAGTCCGTCGCTCAAGTCTTGAACGACAGATCGGTTGAACTCTCTGCCTACGGGCGGGGAGGAACCCGAAGGTGGCTACGCCGAAGTGCGGATTCTCGGGGAGGTAAACGGGCCCTGAACTCGTCTATACGGGTTCAATGGGCATATTTTTGGCCGAGCCCACGTTAAAAAGTCCTTGTGCCACATGACGCCCTCATCGGGGGGGTGACTGAAATATCGTCAGTAGTTCAAGTCCTGACCGGCTGTTCAGTTGGACTCTCTGCCTTCGGGCGGGAGGGAACCTGAAGGAGGCTACGCCGAAGGGCGGAGTCTCTTTGTGGGAGGTAAACCTACTCTGAACCCGTTTATACGGGTTAAATGGACATATTTTTGGCCGATCCCACGTTAAAAAGGCCTTGTGCCACATGACGCCATCGTGGGGGTGACTGAATGTCGTCAGTCGCTCAACTCTTGAACGACAGATCGGTTGAACTCTCTACCTTCGGGCGGGGAGGAACCCAAACGAGGCTACGCCGAAGGGCGGATTCTGTTTCGGGGAGGTAAACCGGCCCTGAACCCGTTTATACGGGTTCAATGGGCATATTTTTGGCCAAGCCCACGGGCTCGGAGATACCACGGGCTCGGAGATACCACGGGCTCGGAGATCCCACGTTAAAAGGCCTTGTGCCACATGACGCCCTCATGGGGGTGGTGACAGAATATCGTTAGTAGTTCAAGTCGAGTCAAGAGTCGTGTCAGAGGCAGTCCGAAACAGAGTCGCGTTCAGACAATTACTGCAAGACATTGGAATAGTGATACTGGTCGAGACTATTGTTCTTTCTACTAAACCTCATTGTTCATACTAACACTTCTACTTCTCTGTATATATTCCTGTTTGTAATATATCTGTGTTATTCCATACCTGTGTTCCAATTCTTCTTTATTGGTTCTACCTTGGACTATCACCGTTGGTACAAGGAACCGGACCATAACAATTAGTTACCTTCCTGTTTAATTTTGAAGACAGACAATGTAAAATCCAGGTATATTCTTGCATACCTTCTATTTTAGCGGTTGTCAAACAGCGGCTCGCGAGCCACATGCGTCTCTTTGACTTTTACACGGCTCGTGGAAATATCTTGGCTGAGCTCCTTTTTACAGCACACTTAATATAAAAGGTAAATAAGAAAAAAAATCACGCTTTATATTGATTTACAGGGTATGAATTGAGACCCCATTGGATTAAAACGTAAGTTTAATGGTCATGGTTAGTAAAAATATTTAAGTATTGAAATCCTAATTTTACTGCTAAATCTGAGTGAGGCATTGTCCTTTCGTGCTGAGGGAAGGACTAGTAGTAGGCTGAGGGGGTACAGAAGTTTCCGGTCAGCAAGTGTTACAGAAGAATATCAGAAGACTGAGGAGATGGGTAAGAGAATTAAAGGAAACAGCACTCACATCATGTACCTTAATGCAGTGTAACACAAGACGTTGAACTGCGTAAGTTTTGTTTAAAATTGTCAGGATTTTGATAGATTTTTATATATATATATATATATATATATATATATATATATATATATATGTGTGTGTGTGTGTGTGTGTGTGTGTGTACTTTGTGATTACTGAAGCCAGTACAAATTAACTGCTTAAAAAAGCTGCATAAATAAACTACACTACATTTGAATGAAAACTCTAACATTTTTAGGCATTAAAAACAACATGCCGGACCGCACACACAATTCCGTAAAATACTTGTTGAAAACACAATTATACTTCGACATGAAAACAATAGACAAAAACTAAAAATCCTTGAAGCATTATACATCAAACAGTTGAAACCCAACCTAAACAAAATCAATTATGGCATCTCTACAAATATTCTTAAATGTCTATAATTTCTATAATTGGTAACAGAAGCCATTGGTTTATACCAACGGCTTTCCTTATTTCATTCTCCAATTCACTCTCGTGTAGTCATATGCGACGTCATGAGATGCGGTGCGATTTTCGCTTCTAGCGTCTTATACGCGCATGTTTATCGTTGCTTAGAAATCATCTATGTAAACATTGACAGACTATCATCACTGTCGTGTCCGTATATTGTTTAATATGCTGTAATTGACATCTTTGATAATGGCTTATGTAAGCCGAAAGCTTAGATTGTATTAAAAAAAATATGGATCAATATTGTGAATTTCTTTCTTCGTTCAACGATAATGTTATTAAACTTGTCAGACGTTACGAAAAAAAATTAAATAAAATAAATAGACAACACTTGTCTATATTAATTAATAAAACGTGCATGAATATATATATATATATATATATATATATATATATATATATATATATATATGTGAAAATATATAGAAAATAGGAAGGAACTGGTTAGGTAATTTTTTTTAAAACAAGTAAATTTCAGACAAAAATTTCGCTTGAGGATGGAACGGAGCCCATTTTACTTTCAGCTCAATTTAATTTAAAGGATTATATTGAAGTTTTCGGCTCTAGTTTTGAAACATGAGACCTCTTATGTAGCGATTTGGAATCATATTTTTAAATAAATAATTATATATATATATATATATATATATATATATATATGTATAGTTTATGCAAAACTAGGTAATCCGTATGGGTAGACCCAAGGAGGATGATATCCAGAGAGCTCAATGTAAATTCAGAGCAACTAAATTTGAATAAAAACAGACCACTTTAAGGTTCCATGTAATAAATTATTTCACCACGGCCCTTTTAAAGGGCTCTGGATCATCAAGCATTACTTCCAAAGGTTGAAACGAAAAATGAAAAGGAATTTACACATTTTTGACGGGCCGTATTAAGCATATGTAAATTAACGAAGTGAGGAAGTGAGGGGGGAGAGAAGACATGAGTGAGTTAGATGTACCATTTCAATTCTTTATCCTTAGGCTCACTTGGTGTGGGCCAGACATCGCTTAACTTAACGTATGTTATCTCTAGATATAGATGGGTAAGGGGTGATGAAGAAAACCGGCATAAAAAAAAAAAATACAATAAATATATATATATATATATATATATATATATATATATATATATATGAAAATTTCTCAGAGTTAACCTGTACAAAAAGACAATATTTATAAATATAAATGACAATAGGATAACTGTAGTTATTGCTGACGCCTTTCGTCCAGTGAGGACCTTATCAAAGCAAAAGCAAATGAATTTAATTAAAGAAAGTAACAAGTAATAGCAAAAAACAGAATGTCCTTAGCAACTGGAGAAATGTAGAAAACGCTATTGTGAAAATATCCTCCACACGTGACAATAACTGACGTTATTTTCAGTTAACAATATGAAAATAGCGTTCTCTACATTCCTCCAGTGGCTAAGGACATTCTGTTTTTTGTTATTATTAGTTACCTTCTTTAATTAAATTCATTTCGTTTTTTGCTTTGAGAAAGTTCACACTGGACGAAACGCGTCAGCAATAACTACTTTTTTTCCTATTGTCATATATATATATATATATATATATATATATATATATATATATATATATATAAATATTTCACCCCAAGCAAGACGAGAGTGCCGCTAGCACGCAAAGGTTCACAGAGAGTGGAGGCAAGAGTAAAGAGGCATACTAGAGGGAAGGATGAATAGAAGGACGGGGAATTAGATCAAGGCATCTGAAGATGTTGACTGACATTGCATTTGGATATTTGGAGATTATAGCTATCAGGGAAGCAAGTAAGAGGAAGGGAATTCCACTGGCGAGAGGTGCGAGACATGAAGCTATTGGAGTAGAAGAGACGACTACATTTAACAGTTTCGAAATTAAAAGGGTGGGACTGAGATGCCAACCTAGTAGCACATTTAAATTCATGCAGTTTGGGAACTAGGGAAAAGTAACTTGTAAAAGAGATGCCAGATCAGCACCAATCACATTGCATATCCGTCTCTGGATTTTGTCGAAGGCCTTAAGATGAACAGCGGTGTGTCCAGACCATATATGGTAGCAGTATTCCATACAAGGGCTAATGGTTGATTTATAGATTTGAAGTATATATATATATATATATATATATATATATATATATATATATATATATATGAATTTTTTTTGGTATGCAATAAAAACGTATGTGTAAATTTTTTTATATGTTGCTACTCTCAAACAGCTGAACTTTATCGTATTTGGCCATATAGCAATCGTAATTATAAGATAGGTAATGGAAGCATGGCCACTCTATTCTATTTCATCTGGCATCTGGAA